GTGCGTGCATAAAGCATACATTACGCATAGTCGAAATTAGAAAATTGCAACCAGAAAACTATTTGATGTGTATTCATGATATTTCTAATGACGAGGAATTTGATTTAAATCATATCAAAGACAGAATACATAGAGATGAAATACTACATTTAGTAAGGAATTATAAGCTGAATAAAATAAAAACATCTGTCCTGAAGATAAGGATAGTGCTGACTGATCAACTTCCAGTTCATTGCGCGCCGCAACATTCCCCCCCCCCCCCCGAGAGCAGCGTGAAATTGGTAAACAGATTTTGAAATGGTTAGAGAAGCAAAGGATATGCCTTTATCCATTTTTTGCAGCAATTCCACTTTTTGTTTGATGGACATCGAAACATACTTTCGCTTTGTTGATCCTTTGGCAGCTCCAGAATCGGAAATTCTTTTTGACAGAATCGAAAGTTCAAGCTTACTTTTATAAAATTGCTCTGACAGTCTGCAAAAAATAATAAACCGGATCCAATTAGAAGATTAAGAAACTACACAATCTGCAACATTAATTGAAATAGATAATTAGACAATTTTAGTTTAGCTTATATCGTCCGTTATACATTAAACGTGCATGCGTAAAGTTTGTAGCTTTGAGGTCCGGATTATAGATCATTACCGATTATGGATGTCCAGATTAAAGACTTTTGACTGTATTGCTTATAGTTGTAATCTTTTCTATCATTCAACTTGATACTCTTGGGACACATCTCGTGCAGAAAGTAACCTTAACACTGTGTACCTAATTTAGTATAATTTCAGCTACTTTTTTAGATAAAGGATTTCGCAGTCAGTAGATCATAGTTCAGATTAAAACGATTATATGTATTAATTTTTCTTGATTCATCAGCTGATGTTATGGTGCATTACTTTCCAGAAACATATCACCTGAAAACTATTCATCTGGTTGTATCATCTGAAAACTGGGTGAAAAATTGCTTTGTAGTGGAAAGTTGCATTAAGGCTGGTGTGTATTATAGCATATATGATTTGATGATGTACAAGCATATCATTGATGTATTGTGGATTCAGGTCCCAGGTCACCTAAAGAGAATTACATATTTTTGGTTTCCTAGCATACCAGGGCTCCTGCTGTCCTTAAAAGTCCTTAATTTTACTACACTTTTTTTTTTTTTTTTTTAATGACTGTCATTTTAAGTGTGAGTTAGTAATTTGGAGAAATATTTTTTTGTGATGCACTGAAAAATATGTATTTGATGCGTTAATTTTAATTGTTTGAATTCGTTCTTACTTCTTAATATATTTTAGATACGAAGCTCTGCTTCGATTGAAACATGAACATTTCGAAGTAATTATTTTCTTGTGAATAAAAATTTCATAAAATATTGGATCAAAAACAATTTTCCCTTTTTGAAATATCAGTTTTTTTAAATTATTATTTTATTTAATTTTTTTATTATTATTTTGCATCGCTAAATTTGGTGATTTATCAACATTTTGACCATTTCAAGATCAGTTTGTATTCAAAATTTTTTATTTGCAGATTCTGCAAATTTTGGACTATTTTTTTACAAACATGATAACCTTGATAAATATCATAAAAATAATGATAATGTATTAAAATTATATTTAATAAATAACATTAAAATAAAACATTTTAATTTTTCCCTGCCATATTTTAAAGTGACATTACTTTGCATTTGGGGGACTTTGGAATCTATTTATTCTGAAAAATAAACAAGATAATAGATGGCATAAAGCAGGGGTTCTCAAACTTTTCGAATTTTGTACCACATAAATATGAAACAAAAATATATGTACCACCATAAAAGCATTTCGCCATTAAAAATCAATGCATCCTAAATGGAGTGTATATAATAAAAGAGTTAAATCCTTTAAATTTATGTTATTTAATTATATTCATAAATAAAACTTTTACATTACAGAGAAATATAAATATACTACGAGTGTACTGGAGTATTGCTACAATTCTTGGAAATCGTAACGTCGGAAAATTATTTGAAAATCATGGTAAAGTCATCATTTTGACAGGTGATAGCAGGGTCCGGACATCTGGGCGGCATTCACTGACTATTCAGGTATCATCCGGATCTCGCAACTGTCCAGAAAAACAACATTGCCGAACAGGGGTTGATGTTGGGGGTCAAAAACTTGAAAAATATGTGTGTTTCTGAATAAGAAAGATTAAAACAAAATGTTAAAAGGGGTGCAATTTTACATTCATTTTGATCATTCATTTAAATTTATTCTGTAAAACTTGTACCACTAAAAATATTGTAATGTACCACAGTTTCAGTACTGGTGATATAAAGCACAGTTTCTGAAACATTTCTTAGAAAAAAACAAAAGTGTTATTGTAATTATTTAAAAAGTAATTTCATTTGTCTTTCTTTATATTTTTTCATGGTTCATTTTTTTATCAAAAGTCTTTCTTTTACAGAATTGGTTGGGATAATTTTTCTTTTGGGTTTTAGACCTTGTACCTTGGAATGTTTAGAAGGATTTGAGACTCACAATTTCCAGAAAAATGTCTTCATAGTATTAACATGTAGTGGACATGTTTTATGGGAAGTTTGTGATGAATTTCTTTGGAAAAACAGTAAAAAACACAATTATTTGAATTTTGTCATTTTGGTCCCAGAAGTCTTTCTCTTAACATGTTTATCTTCCCTTTATTTTATTATCAATACCCATATTGAAGAAATAAAATTGCAGTTTCTTATATATATATTTCAAGTGCAATCAGTTCTTTAGAATAACAGAAATCTTTAATTAAATCTGAAAATTGTAAAATAAAGAGGAAACTCATTGATGGAATTGACATAATAAAAAAAGGGAGAGAAAATTATTCTTCAAAGGTTCATTGTTGAAACAGTTATAAATTAGAAGAAGTGATGAAGAAACTAACGGAACATTGATTTGTTTATTGAAAGAAATAAACTTAGAAAAGATACTAAAAAGAAGGAAATTGATGTAAATTAACTAAAATATCTTGGAAATTTTCAAATTAAAAAGATGCATAGACATTTTCTTTATTTGTTGTTGCAACATTATAACCGCTGTAACATGTTCTTTGTTATTTTCTAATGAATTTAAGAAATAAAAAAAAAAAATTTGTAACCATATAATCCATTGATTAACTGGGTAATTTAATTATTTGTAGTTAACTGCTCGCACTTAGAAATTATTTCTTCATGTTAAGATGAGTTATCACCTTCCCTTAACCACTTGCACTAAAAAGACGTGCCAAGCACGTCGAGATGCTTTTGTCTCAAACCGCGAGCGACGTGAACACCACGTCGATAGGCATTTATCGCAAAAATGAAAATAACATGGTGCACATGTCACCTAGCAACGAGATTGTTTCTTTCTCGAGTTACAGCTCTGTTTATTTCTCGAGTTACAGCTCTGTTTATTTCTCGAGTTACAGCTCTGGATTGCACACTCGCAGATGAGAGTGGCATAGATGAGACACTTTACCGCTTGTTATATTTTAGCGCATGGCACAGCAACCGTGAGGTTAAGTCATAGCGCAAGTGGTTAATCTTTATTGTGATAATAATGGGGGCCTGAGCTAATAAGTTAAGAGCACTAGCATGTAATAAAATAATTTATTACTTGAGTGGTCAGCTGTGATTAATAACTATTAAATACTTATGAATGCGAGATGAGATATGTGACTTAGGAAAGAAACATTTAATTAAGGAACTTACCCAGAACCAGAGAAGCCAGATGCAGAATGATGACAACCAAAATTCACATTTGAAAACATTTTTATTTTCTTATTTCTAAGTATCACTAATTTACTTGAATAAATGTTAATGGGGCACAAAATAAATTTAGCTAGATTAACAAAACTACACTCGCTGATGAATACACATAATTCTCATTAGATCTATGGAAACATGGCCTTTACACATGACATAACGAAAATCGCTTCACTGAAAGAAATAAACTTAGAAACACTGGAGTATATTGAAACAAGATAATCGGTGTCCATCTGTTCAGGAAAAAGGTCCTGAGAATGTGAAACTTTTGATAGAGTGCAAGTTGAACCTAAAACTAAGCTTATTCCTTGAAATAATAGAAGAAGTACGTTAACACAATCACTTATCTGGTAAATCATGAGGTCGATGAATACGAACATTAGTGAAGCTACCTGTCATGCTTATCTCACTCGCACACATGTAGAAATCAATAGCAGCAAACTTTTACGAATATGGAGTTTCATATTCTTACTGTTTCATAAACTAGTTGAAGTACATGTCAATATGTTGCTCACAAATTTCTGCATGGCATACAGCATGATGGCAGGAGAAGGAACAGGCTGAGCGTCGACTTTAAGCCCCAAACTCCAAACGTAGAAGAGACACAAAACTGGTTGGGGAAGTCTCTTCAAGAGTTGTCTTGATTCGATGTTGATTATAAACGATATGGAAATGCAAAGTACAGGCTTGCTTGCACATTTCCTCCTATGGTATCAACACTTTTCATAGTGTTGATATCATAGTGAACTAAAATATTGCATGAATTAACAGTTTATCAGTTAAACATATGAAGTTTATAGAAATGATGTAATGTTTTGAAAGATCGTTCATGAGATGACTAGTTTTTAACACTAGACAAAATTAATAGTAATCTCTTGAAGTATTATAATCATAAGTATTATAATAGTAATCCCTTGAATCTTTTCATAAGTATTATAATAAGAGTTTGTGATCACTTAAGGGCTATTGTATGGGTGTTATTTAGATGGATTCTTTTAAATGTAGTAAAAAATGGCAAAGTTTGTGAACATCATGAAACCCAGAGCAAAGCAAGCATATATAAATGGCAGAGATGCTGCTCAATTTGATTGATGCTAGATTACCACAGATTTCCAGTTATAAAAAAATTGAGTGTAATATCTATGAAGTGAAGTAAAACAAGATTTGCCTGTACTCATTATAACTACTAAAGGAATTCATAGCATATTGGATGTATTTTTTTTAGGTTTGTGAAAAGCATTTTAAGCCTGAAGATATCATTACTACAGCTTCAGGATTTGATTCTAAAACTCAAGTTACTATCACTGTACCTCTGAGAGTTCATCGCCTAGTGCCAGAAGCAGTTCCTAGTCTATTTCTTGATGGTACACCTGTAAGAAAGAAACGTGTCTCTGTCGTAACACCAGAAGACAATAACAAACAAGTAAAAGAGGAATCTGAAGATTCTATTTCTGCTGCTGGACACAGTAAGCTTGCCGTAACTGTAAAATTAATGCTTTCTAGAGATTAATGATCTAGCATCATCTTTAATTTCTTTGTTGTACTCTTCTTTGATTGCCTATTTATTTCATTGCTATTTTCTTGTCATTATGTTGCCTCTTACTTGGATTTGTTCTTCTTTTCACATGATCGTAGAATTTATTTTTTCCAAGTTTTAGATTACTTTTTCATTTATTCAAATTAATTAATCGCAACTAAAATTCAAGCATGCGCAAGTGCTGTGTCTCAGGATGTTATTCAAATTACTCAAAGCCTTATGTATCTGTGTTTACATTTCCGAAAGATCTTAATCTTTGTAATTTGTGGTTGAAGAAAATTGGGCAGCCATTGCTAAAAGTATCTGAAAACATTGGTGTGTGTATAAAGCACTTTGAAAAAGAGCTAGTATCTGGGAAGGAAGAGTATGTGAAGAATTGTCACAGAAAGAAAGTAACTGTTAAACCATTAGCTATTCCCACCTTGTTTCTTCTAGAAGAACAAAACTATGCCTGGAATAGAGCAGAAAACAAGAAGCCACAAGAAATTATTTCCCGTACGTGAAAGGAATTTTCATATTCATTGCTATGATTTAATTTATGTTTCTTTTGGATGAAGGAAAAAATTTCTGAAAAGTTTTATTATATTTATTATTTAGTATGATCATTATGCCCATATTCCTTTTTTATGACTGCATGTTAAACTTTAATAAATAACTTACCATATAGATTTACATGTGAGTGCTTCTGCATGTTAATCAGAGCTTGATTTTGTAGTACAATTGGTAGAATTTTATAGTGCAGATAATTAAGTTGAATGTGAAAAACTTGCACCTTAGAATGATTTGAAATGAATAGAATGATTGGAATCCCTGTGGAGAGATTTCAGAATTAGAAAATGATGATTAAATATGATAAAACTTCAAGGTAACTCTTTGTTTTTAAAATAATTTTTTGTTTGATTTCTAAAACAAAATTTAATTTTCTTTTGCTTGATAATACAAATATTTTATGTTTAATAAGTATACCAAATGTTAAAAGTAATGGCAAATATATCAATTTTTAATCTAATTATTTATTTTTATGAAATTGCATTTGTAGCTATTAACAAATAGCAGTTACCTACTTAATCTACATACCTATATCTAAAGTCATGCTATAAAAAATATTATATTTTTGAATGGGTTTGCAATCAAGGTTTAGTTTTTTGGTTTTATAAACCAATTTATACATAAGTACAAACAGTAATTCTACGTAAAAGTCGAGGGGGGAACTTAATGCTACTTTAATTATTTTTGTAGTTGTGATCTTTATATTAAAGTAGCAAATATTGAAAAATCTATTTCTTCGTTATTGCAACTATCATTAATTTTATTATTTCTTAATTCCACTTTCTGTGTTAAATTTCAGCAAGTTCATTATTAGATTAATTTTAATTTTGCATATTGTCTTGAGTATATATTTGCCTTTTGGGAAACTGTATTCTTTCTGAAGTATTTTAGTTATAAATACCATTGTAAATTGTTTTATCTCATATCTATGTGTAAGCAGTTCCTTGTAACCTGTATATTTTCCAGTTTTAATCATCTCATTTCAATTCAGATCTATACACTTAGTTTACTTAATCTTACATGTGTTGTATATAAACTTTGGTACTTACAGTATTATCGTATCTGACCATAAAAGTTGGCAAAGATCCCACCAAAAACTGCATGAATCATTCTGAAGAACTCAATGCCCCTTTATTTAATAAACAATTGACCTTCTTTGTAAAAAAGCTTTCATTGATTTCTACTATTTTGTTATGATTTTGCTGAAAGCTTTGCTTAGAACATCATGGGTACAAACTTCTCACAGGTAACTAACTATTCCAGTCTATTACTATTTTGTCAGCCATATTCATCTGGCCATATAGTGTTCATTTTAATAAATGCTTTTTTTCCATCATAGAAACGGATAATTTTGAAAATGATCCTCTACTTACTATTCTAAAGAAATCAAGTCACTAATTTTCATAATTTTCTTCGAAATGCGAGAAAAACATGCAACAATAACTGTTAATTTATATTCTTGTTAAAAAAAGGGGGGTTTATTGTGAATTAGTTGGGGTTACCTCAAACAAAAATGCAAATGTTTTGTGTGTATTGCTGTATTATGCTTATCCATGATTGGTGCTGAATGACGTAGTGTGACAATATTCACAGTTAATATGATAATATGTAAGTACCTAAATTTGTTGTATAATTCTTTCACAACATAACTTTAAATACTTTATAAGCTATAATAGGTCACTTGATAATTATAAATCAGATATTTTGTTGCCTGAAAAAAATTGTTAGCAATTTAATTAAGCTATGCTTTTGAATCATAACATAACATTATAATAAAAACCTTAAATGGTGTTTGTGGATTGTATGTGATTAACATGTTTCTGTTAATGTTTTATAAAGTATAGTTTTCTTTTGTGTTTTTGATTCCTAAAATCTTATGTTATACACATTTTACGTGAATATATGCACTATGTTTATAAAAACTGCATCTATTTCCTCAAGAAATTTTTGTTACCATGGAAGTTAGAACAGGTTAGAATGTAACCAGATGAAACCATGTTGACAAAAAGTGGTTGAAATGCCCTGACATAAATACTGCAGCATAAATTCATTTTTGAATAGGAATGTTTTAAATTTGTAATGAAATTGAATAATGTTATTAGCATTACATTCCCTTTTCCCTGCTAAAGATTCTCATACATTTCTTTGGTGGCATTTCACTTCTATCATTCTTGAGGTTCTTTTAAGTAATGATGAGAGAAATGAAAACTTATAAAAATTGATACTTGGTTGGTTAATTGTTTATGGCAAAGTTTTCTGGAGTCTTCTGCCTGTGAAAAAGGATGCGTTTGTTGAATGTTTTCAAAAGTTAAATGGAATTTCACCAGTTGTGGTATTGCAAGTGTTTAGTGTACTGTGGTATAGTTTCTGTTGAATCTGTATGATTTGTATTTCAACAAAGCCTGTTTTATCGAATTTAGAATTTTTTTTTGACATATGTATGAACGAGTATCTATTTCTCTCAGCTTTTAAAAAAAAATATATGAATTCATTAATGGGCTTGCAATTATTTCCTATGCTATGCATTTCAGTTGCTATGGTAGAATTTGCAGAATTAAAATATAACTTTTATAATAAATATTAGTATTGATTTTAGTTTAAAAATTCTTTTGAAATAATACTTACATAATAATTGTAGTAGTAAAAATATGTGATGGCAGTTGAAGCGTCACACTGCTGTGAGCAGAGTAATGCTTGTTTTTAGTGTTGATGTATGCCAGTTAAATTTTATTTTACTATATATTGTGTAAATTATATTTTGGTGTATGTGGCAAGAATTTTTGGAACTTTTTCTAAAAATAAATGAGGGGAGGGTCAGCGCATATATGGATCCGCTAATCTCGTAAAAAAATATAGGTACTTTACTATTAACTTGGCACAAAAAATAAATCACCAAATATAGCACCTTTTTTTTATTTCTTTATACTATTTAAGTTTATGAAAAAATTATAAGTTATTTGTCTGATGAAAGTGAGTTGTTTTATTTTCAATTATTTTCAAAATTGTTTGTATTGCTGTTTTTTTTTTTTTTTTTTTTTTTTTTTTTTGCATCATCAGCAGAAAGAAAATTTTGATGTTGAGAGAAATTTGCTCCCGCCTAACGGATGAGTACCAAAATTTACCCCAGAAGTAATAATAGAAACAGTTAACAATTGGCACAGGAAACCTATTTTCTGGCTGCTTTGAATGCAACATTTATGCAAAAAGATCATCTAAATCCTTCAAAGTTTGTGTCAGAATCCCAATTTTTGAATAGTCTGTAAAATTCATTTTCACTGATTGGATGTCTGGGGGGGGGATAAATGTCATCATCAATACTTTCTATACTAGAATTTATGTCCTCTTCATACACAAAATCATCATTCATCACCATCCATATACAGTTACTGATACAGCATTTTTTAAAAGCTCAGACAATCACTTCAGATGTAATCTCCAAACATATGCTTTTATCCATTTTGTAATTGTCACTAAATATACATTTTTTATTTTAAATATACATTTCTTTAATTTATTAATTAAAGAAGATAAATCTTCTCCTTCCATTTACTAAATCTAATCTATCTTTAAATGGCTTGTTTAAGCAATCATCCAGTGGTTGGAGCATAGATGTTGGTCCTTCCAATTATTACTGCCATTTTTGTTTTTATTTCACTGCACTTGTCTCACTTTAATCTATGAGTCTTGAATGAATCCCAGACTGGTATGGGTGGTTTATTAAATACAGTGCTTTTTCTTCAACTCTTTCCAGCCAATCCAATGTACCACATTTATTCATCCAGCCTTTTTCATGGCCATGCACTAAAATGCCACTTGGGAGTTTTACACCCTTATGCAGAGTCCTTCAAATATAATTGTAGGAAGTAAATGAGTTCTATGTGCCCAGCAGCGCATAACTACCATAAAATGGCATTTTTTGTGGCCCGTTGGCTTCATGAAAACAGTCTTAGAACATTTAGTAGGAACAATGTAATTTGATGGCTAAACAAATGATACTGGAATTTCATCCATACTGCCAATTTGACGCATTTCAGAACCATATTCTTTTCATAATTCTGTAACGTGCTGTTGAAAGACTTCGGCTTTTCTTCCAGCTGTGAAGGTAGTTTACAGTCAAGCTTAAAGTGAGCTCTTATGCATAAATTATGCCTGGTTTATTTTGAGCTATTCATGAAATGATTGCACTATCCTATGGAGGCAACAAAATCACCTGATTTGCTTTGAGCTGATTCAGGTTGCTTCATCAAATTCAGTGCCCTGATTTGGATAACTATGTGGATTACATTAAAACAATTGATTTGTGATCCATGCAGTTAGTTTCTCCTCCACAACATGAAACATAGGCCGATGTCCATGTTTTTTATTTTGGCATCTCGACTAATTCAGGATGTTTTTTTTTTTTTCTCTCTCTCTCTACTTTCAAACTTGTTTTTCATTTACAGAGAAATGTCAAGCAGCAATACTTGATACGATTGTTAAAGTTTTCAGCAAACACAATCACCAGTACTTTGAAATTCGCCGATTTGAAATCACGGTAAGAATTTCTTTTCCTGCTCATCTTTCAGGCAAAAATAAAAGGGTACACAGGTACCAGAGATCATATGCAAGACAACAAATCAATAGAAAAATGTCAAGAATAAAACTATCATCATTAATGTCTGATGTTTTATTTTACTGTGATTTTACTGGAAAAAATTTCACTTGTTTTACTTGCTTGGCAACATTTTAGCTCTCATGGCAACATGTTTAAACAAAACAGGATTTTTTTTTTTTTTTTTTTTTTTTTTTATTTCAGCTTTTATACAGGTTTTGAGTTTTGGACAAATTTTTTTAGAAAAAACGTGCTCTCGGTTCATACATAGATCGGGTTATATTCGAAAGTATATGGTATGTATTTGTCGCAAATACAGTGTTTATAGTTTTACGGACGTAAAGATATGGACTGAATGCATAACTGCTATTGAATGACTAGGTTGGAACTTTGTCACTTTAACTTGTATGCCAGGCCGCATGACTAGGGTAAGGTGAAATAATTTCCCACATTGGTACAGTCAGTAAATTCAGTTTTCTGTGCTTCAGTGTTTTGAAATTTCTGATTTTCTAGTTAAGGTTAAAAGTTATTTAGTGGTTAATTCATTATACTGGATTTACCTGATAAAATATCAGTCTTAATTAATGTTTAGCTATCAGTATGTTTGAATTGCAAAATATAACCAGTAGAAATTTCTTATAGTTATCAACTTTAAACATCTGATAGGAACTATATTTGAATTTTTTCTATGTATTATTATAATTATTGTTTGTGTTTTGATAAATGTTAAGCAAGTGAAATTTAAAATTTAGTTTATATTTTTTTAATTGTTTTAAAATTTTGTTAAAAAATATTCTGGTCCATCAGCTGCTTTCAGATTATGCATTTGGCCTGCATGTAATATAGTCTGAGACCACTGGTGTAATGTATTCACTGAGCATAGTGTCTAATTTTTTGTTGAAAATCATTTGATATAACATTCCTTGTTGTAATAACATGTCTGAAAATATTTGTGTCATCAAATATAACCATTATGGATCTGGAGCAAATTTCTGTATAACTTTAGGGTGTTACAATAAATCATGAACAGTTTATTGTTGTTTCACTATATCATTTATCATTGTTAAAAAGCAGCTCTTTATATTGCTTAATATTGCTTTTTAAAAAGTTTGTTTATTGTTTATGATTGAACCTCATAATCAATACATCATTTCCAATAATTGTTTTTTCATTATGTTCCATGTCTGAAATAATCAGTTTTGATTTTAAAAGTTGAGCAAAATTTATTGTCAAGTATAAAAATGGTTTTTAGTTGCAATTTCAAAGTGCTTCTTTTCCCAGGCATGCAGAGTAAGGAACCAAAGTGTTTGGAATCTACCGACCCGCCTTCAGAAGATAATCCAGATCATGTTCCTGAGCAAACTACTGAAGAAACTTCTGTCATAGATAAACCAAAACGAAATGTAAGAGGTACGTCAACTACTGATAGACCAATTATAACAGTAATTAAAGCAGAAGGTAAGAAATATTTCTTTCCTTTGAAATATTGTTTCAGTTATTTCGGTACTTGTGTCTTACCCGGTACTGGGATCTACAGTAAGTGCCATTAAATAGCTGTAATTTTCAATCACTTGTAATAATGATCTGAACCTCAGTTTGCTTTCTTAAATATATAACAAGTCTTCTGTTAATGATGACTTATGGGAGTAATATGTGTAATTTTATTTTCTTCACTTATCTCTGGATTTAGTGAATAATTAAAGGAGATATATCGGCTTTCTTCAAAATTATGAAATATGTGAAGTCAAACACATTCCAATTCCCATGTCCTGAAAAAAAATCCTGAAGGAAAGGTGTTTTGAAAGTGCAGCATTAAAAAAAATGCAGACATATGGTAGGAAAGTGGTATAGGAAAAGCCAAAAATCACACTTGTTTTAATAACAAAAGAGTTGATCAGCTTTGTCAAGAACTGCATATGAGAAATAAACAGATATAGCATAATAGACATGAGCACATTTAGCACTATTTTTCTATAAAGAAGCTTGATTGCTACTAATGTTACTTCAGCTGCCATTGAAGTAACCATCGTATCAATGCTTTTATCATGGTAAATTACTTTGGTACCTACCATAGTCCCTGGTTCCAGAAAATACACAGGTACCATAGTTTTCTCTTCATTATCTGTCAATGAAATTATAAAGGTAATGGTGAAATTAATATTATATGTCTGGTGTTTTCCTTCTCTTCCAAATTAATATTTTAATTTATGTCCATGTGCAGAATTTATCTCTTGTTTGTATGTTTTAAATGGTATTAGTAGTCATTTAATAATTACTGGAATCACTTTTGCTTTTGGTAGTACCTTTGGAAAACATAAAACAAGAGTTATTGCCATTTATACAATCCATTTCATTTTTGTTAGTGTTTAATAAAACGTATCGTTTTGATGAAGCATGGTTTGTATGAAAATTTAGGAACAATGCAGTACTTAATTCTTTTTCACATAAACTGTGGTCAGTTATACATCTCAACTCTTATGTGTACACTTTTATATTACATCATTTGCCAGTAACATTTCAATGCTTTTCAAGATTTTATTATTTTGAATTAGTATTTAATGGAGAAAAATTAAAATGTTTATCTGAAATTAATTTTAAGCCTCAAAACTATTAATTGTTAATTGTTGCGTAGTATAAACATATCTCCATTATTCCAACACCTCACGAAAATTAGTGATAGTTTCTTATGTAAATAATATTCTTTTTATAATTACAAAAATACTTGGTAATTAAGCGTATTTATATATTAATTTGATCACCGAATGCTGATGTATATGTGTGTAGTTACGACTTATTTTTATACAAATTTTATGTTAGAAATATGAAAGGATAAGTTATTGTCTATTAAATAGATATGTATTGACAGCAGAAGAATTTTATAATAAAATATAATACTTTTAAATTTTTTATTTCCACTATTGTTGTAAGGTAAATGTTATTTTTTCTCTCACTGTTAAACCATTTTAACAGTGAGAGTAACCATATGTGTTATTATATGTAGACATAAAAAGATGCAAATTTATTTACTTCTGATTTAAATATTAATGCAGATTTGAAATCGGATGAACCGTCTCCAACCAAAGCAATGGAGGAATGTATTGAAGTATCTGATACAACACCTTCAAATTCTGTTTCATCGTTACCGTCTCCATACAAACACCTCCCATCAGTAACTGTATGGTAAGTAACTACTTTTTGCATTTGTAGCATTATTAGCACAGATTATAACGGTCAGAGTAAAGCTTATTGTGGTGACCCTTATAAGAGAAATGAAGCTTGTAAGGTGCTGCCATCTCTGGGAATGAAAGAAACTGCCATCTGATATTCAACGTTGCCAATGTAAGTGGTTTCCCTCTAAATCAGCTTTTTAGTTTGTTCAGCAGCTTAGCAGGAAAAAATAAGTAACATTGATTCATCTGTCCTGAATCATTGTTGCCAACACTGCTGATGGCATTTTCTTGAATTCTACTGAACAGTGCCAGCTAGTTTGCATCTTAACTACTGTTTTACACGGCCTGTTTTGCACAAATATGATTTCTGATCATTGTCATTTAAAGCAGGTATACAATTGTTTCCAAATGTTTAATTAATTTATGTTATTTTTTTATCCAGTAAGAAGGGCAAATGCCAACAAAAATGAATAAAAGGGCTGCAGGTTGCACCACACAGATGTTAATGCTATCTGATTTTTCTAGTAATTGCTTCTGAGTCAATGCAGAACAGGGTTGTAGCTACTCAAAATAATGGCATGAGAATCATCACTGATGGAGCATTTTATACTTCTATCCTGGCCATGCAGTTGTAAACAAATATTGAGCATCTGAACAAAAATAAGAGCTCTCAAGTTGGTTGAGAGATTAATGTGGTTTCTGGAAGGTGCACAATCTTGCAGAGTGTAGACTAAAATCCCAACCTACCTTTTTACGTGCGACTAATAAACTTTTATATATATATATATATATATATATATATATCCCTTCTTTTAACAAACAGCCCCTACTTGAGCCTGGGGTGTTTCTAAGACATTTGAACTCAGCAAATTATACTTTAGACTTGGTTCTGCCCACCAGAAAAAACTCCTACACTGTGACAGAATTAAGGATGGCTGCTTTGACCACTATTGGAGAAAGATTTCCAACAATGAATTGGTTGTATGTGTACACCGATGTTTCTGCCATAGGTGCTAATAAGTAATGCTGGTGCAGAGATATATTCTCGACACTTAAGCTTTAGTAGGGCTGTTGGTGCAAATTATATCAGCTATGATGCTGAAGTGGCTGCTGGGCAAACTAGCCTTGACTGAAATCAGTAAAAGAGATGATCAGAACATTGTGGAATTTATTAATTCACAGGCCACGGTTAAAGCAGTTTCTTCAGTCTTGCTTTCAAGCAATGGGTCTGTTCTAAATTGTCAGCTTGTGATAGATTCTCTAATAAAAAATGATCACAATTTTACTCTGCAGTAAATCTCAAGTCATTTTGAAATCACCAGTAATGAGTTTGCTGACACTCTGGTCTATGCTGAATCTGCCCTTCTTCAACCCAATCCTTCTGTTTGTTATTACAGTGCTAAAAGAATGTGCGATGTGGAGCGCAGCTTCAGATGTGGAAAATAGGAACTCTGTAAAAAAGAAGATTTAGGGTTTCCTGATGGAGAATCCTATTTCCTGCGACCTACCTAGACCTGTCAGTGTCGCTAACTTTAGATTAAAAACTGGACATAACTACCTCAAGAAACACCTACACAGATTTGGATTAGCAGACTATCTTGCCTATTATGTGATACTAGCAGCATGTGTGGTCATCATTTTGTACACTTGTTCTGGACTTGATAATATAGCATTAGCTAATGCTGTCAAAAATTATTGTAATTTTTTTAATGTTTCTGAATTTTATTGGGCTGCCCATCACAGAATAATGACATTCATACTTAGGTTTGGTGTAGGATTAAAAAAAATATATAGTGCATTTTTGTTACCCATATGCTCCATGAAACCTTCCTGTTGTTCCTAGGATCAGCAGTGCCTCTTAGATCTCAGCAGTGTTGAAAAATGCTCTCTTAGAATAAATCATATGGAAATGAAAATTTTGGTCTAACTGAGCATAGGCTCTCACTACAATTTGACCAAGTTTATATAGATATAGTAGACCTTGCACATTTAGAAGCTATGGTGAGAATGGTATTTAGTAATTTTACTGTAAAAAAAAGACCTACTCCAAATATTACCCGTGAAGGAACAATGAGGTTTGCACAAGCTGTCAGCGTTAACCATTCAAGAGGCACCAGCAATGGTTGGTAATTTTTGCTGTCTACAAGAAAGATCATCATTTTTAAACTTCACAGCATATCACAATATCATCCACCAGAAAGCAGTATGAGGAAGAATATTGCCCTTCAGACATACCATTGAAATATTTACAAAAATAATTAACTTACCGTAATTTCCGGAAGAAACGCCGCCGCGTTTACGTGTTTAAAACTTAAATTTTCAGCGGGTGCGGCGTTTAGGTGCACTAAAAATAAAATATTTCCTATGATGGTCATTGTACATAGTTTGGATGGCCTTGTCATTGTGCATAGACTGGTGCTGTTCGCACAACAAAGACCACTCAGTTGCTTTTTGCGAACGTTATTTTGTTTACATTCTTTCCCTTCAATGGACCTACATGCCTTATTCACCCTAAACGAGATCTCAGAACAATAACATTCTTCCCCCTTTCAAATCAACATTCTCATCAGTTTGAATAGTCTCTCTCCTCTGCCATTGGATGAATCTTCCAGGACCCATCCTCTCCCCACCCCTGCCTTTTCTGCAATTTTTTTTCAAAGGCGGACACGACTCCACCTGCCTCGAAATAACGAACTCTGACCTATTTCCCTTTCAGCATGAATGGATTTTTCTTGGCATTCTGCCAAATACAGATCCCATCAGTTTGGGTACAAGTACTTGTTGAATAATTTTTAATTAGGGAGCAGAAAATTTTTGAAAATGTCTCTAAATGGCACAGAAGCTATACATTTTGTACCTTTAATTTATTTTTGAGTTATGGTTTCATTTCATGCATTTTTCTTAACTGGTATGTCATATATCAGGACTTAGGTTGAGTTTTTGCATCTTTACGGCCCACGACGATGTCACGCGCAATTTAATCTATTGCGGCATTTACATTGATGCAGCGTTTCTGTGTAATTTTAATTTTTTCCCACCATTTTTCTCGAGTACGGCGTTTACGCTGATGCGGCCTTTCTTCCGGAAATTACGGTACTTTACTTTCAAGGCCATGCTTGAAGATCCTAATCTCATTCTGCATACTGAAATGTGTTAGCTGAGTAAAAGCAAAGTTCATACAAGATTTGTAAATTTAATTGATGAAATGAAAAATTACCTCAATACCAAACAGAATTCAAAGTTTTTCTAACTTTCATTAACTGGTGGATTTATGTTTTTGAATTATTTAAATATGGAGCTGCAAAGAAAAGACAAACATATAGCATTAGAGTATGTTAAGTTTGTTTAAAGCTAGTTTTATAAATATATCTTAAGATTAAGTGCATTGACACTTATGCATTTCCCAAATATTAAAAAAATGATTGGCAAATTTGAAATAATTGAACGAACTGTCGTTTGTTATAAACCTTCAGTTACCAAGATTTGTTTTAAAAAATGATTTCAACAGTGAAATATTCTGGAGCCTATTTCATCTTTTACTTGCCACGTAAATATAGCCAAAGCAGAGTTTATTCAAATAAGAAAGGAGGAACTGGTGCTAAAAATTTTGGATCTTCAAAATGGATTGTCTTAAAATGCAGTGTAACAGATGAAAACTTCTGGAATATAGCTGATAGAAAAAAAAATGTCATTCTTGAAAAAAGCATCCTATAGGACAAAATCCATTTTTGGTTCCAACATACCTGTTTGAATCATTTCTCTCAACAGTGAATGTAAAATCAAAGTAGATATCTAAACTTGCAGATGAATATCTTGATGTTTGTTTACAAGCAGGAATATCATCATACTTTCCCAGTTATGAAACAGTGGCCAATGAAGTGAAATGCCAAATATCATACTAACTTTAAGAATTACACTTTTTTTTTTTTAATAATCTTTCAAAGCATTTTTATTGACTGTGCTTGGTTAAAATTGATACAGTAGAAAGTCTTTAATCCGGACTCGTCGAGACTTCGGCGATTCCGGATTATAGATCATCCATTTAAATCTGGTAAATTATCTGCAGAAATTATGAAATTAAAAATATGAAACCGTAATTTATGAAATAAAGAGCAATTATATAATCTAAAAAGTATCAAAATTTACAAAAAAGCTTTATTTATTTGTTTACTTTATTAAACAGTTCTTTGAACGCGTGCATGCGTAAAGCATACATTACGCATAGTCGAAATTAGAAAATTGAAACCAGAAAATTATTTGATGTGTATTCGTGATATTTATAATGATGAAGAAGATTTAAATCATATCAAAGACGGAGTACATAAAGATGAAATACTACATTTAGTAAGAAATTATAAGCCGAATAAAATAAAAAACATCTGCCCTGAAGATGAGGATAGTGTTGACAGATCAACTTCCAGTTCATTGCGCGCCGCTACGGGTTTGACCATGATCTGTGTCACTGTGTGCTGTATAGTTATGTGCATTGCTGCCACTTGTAACAACACTTTCTCACTGTACCTTTCATCACAGGTTGTATTGTAAACATGCTGTCAAAATAATAAAATGTTTTTGTACTTATTATCATATTTTTTTTAACTTCTCTATTGAAATGAGACATTGCATAAGTATTTTCATATTATGTTCCATGGCAATTATTGTTTCTCATGACCTTCTGTCACTTCTCTTAGTTTGTTGCCACATTAATAGAATGCTTTGTCTGTCTCTTTTGATTTGTATATATATACGTATACGTGTGTGTGAGTTGTATATGTACATATATACATGTGTGTGTGTGGATCTATGCACTAGTAATTATCGTGTTAATTTTTTACCGTTGCAGTTTAAAAGAAGAAGATAGAGTTGCTATACCAAAAGGTTTGTACTTTTTTTTAATTCGTGTTGAATGTAATAGTTAAAACTAGAAAAAACTCATACACTTAAAAATAATGTCATCATATTTCAGAATTTGGTAAAGCTGTGAAGCGATCGCCGTCTCTTGGAAGTAACAGTAGTAATGGAAGCAGTGAAGCAATTAAAAATTCCACACCTGTACCAAAGCGTAGGAAAGTTGAAAAACCTGCTCCAACTGTTATAGTTAGTATTATATTTTTTTGCTAAAAATTGTGTAGAAGCCCTTTTTCAAACTTAAATGTGGAGTTAAATTAGTGTAAAATTAATGCTCCAATAAACAGATCTGATTTTTAGTCATTTCTAGGTTTATTCATACCAACCTTTTAATCACTGGAAACAAATTAGTGAAAAAGTAAATTGTGCTATCAGTTTAATTACTATATTCCTACATTTCATTAACCCTTTCACGATGGCGCACCTTTGTTTAGGACACTCGTGTGGGATGGAAGGGAATCGAAGGCAGTCACCGTACAGGACGGAGGTTTTGCATCGCTAAGCCTAATTTTATAAAAAAAATTCAGGGAAAAAAAAGTTTCACTTCTAGCATCATAATTTTTGGTATCATTTTAGATTATTACTTGAGCTCTTATATATGTTAAAATTAGCACTTAATAACGTTTTTTTCTTTATTTTACATGAAAATATACTTAAAAAAATTGGTTATCTTGTAAAATAATTTTCAGAAGCGCTATTCAAATTATTCCAAAATTTTTAATTGATAAAATCCATCAATAAAGTTTAAAATTAATAAAACAACACAATAAAGACTCTTTACAGTAAAAAGTAACAAAATTTAAAATGAAGACTGAGTGTGTTAAATCTCGAAGCACAGAGAAGTATCACTTTCTCAGTCTTTAGAAAATGAATCATCACTCTCATCTGCATTAGTAATGGTTCATTAACCTTACAAGGGTATTCTTTCTCTGATAAATAACACCTTCCTGCCATAATAGACTGGAGGTGAGGCTTTCCGAAGTAAAAAGAGAAGGAAAGGAAATATATCTGAAGACAATGCAAAACGTAACAAAACTCCACATAGTATCCCTAAAAGATCATACATAGTAGAGGGAGAAAATAGAGTAAAAAAAGGAATCGGACGCACGGATGTTTATATTAGCACTCACCGATTTAAAGAGCCTACCTCTGTTTACGCTCCTCCCCCCAACCCTCGCAACAGTTGATGAGTAAAATACCAGTCAAAGTCGGGCAAATATATCAAACTCAAGGACAGGAGCCTAAAACTGTCTTCATTTCAAAAATAATGGGCATAAGATGTCATCTAGTGGCCTCCAGAAAAAACGTTCCAGCTTAAAATGCATATACGTGTCACCCGTCCTCTGAATGCAATCTCTAGTGATGCGTGGATGGGACACCCGACTGTAAGAGACGTTCTTAGGGAATTGCGTATATGGAACACCCATCCTGAAAGGGTTAATATGTTGACTGCCACAGCAGGATTCTGATCTCAGCCAATTTGATCTAACCATATTTTATTATTCAGAGCTCTGAATTGTAATATAATTAAAATTTAACAAAATATTAGATTAAAAAAGCTTCGTTATTTCCAAAGTATCCCCCCTCCATAAACAAGGGAAGGAAAAGCTTCTAATAAAGCAATGTAAAATTTGTACCCCAAGCTAAAGAAAAGCACCAAAAAATGTATTATTTCTGTACAATCTGTGAAGAGAAACTGTCCTTTTATGTAGAAGGTTGTTTTAAAAAATATCCCAAAAATTAAAACACTCTTAAGTGGGAACACCTTATATTCTTAACTTTTCACATGGGGGAAAGAAATTTTAATGCATTTGAGAAAAAATGTAATGATGATGTCGAATGAAACATTGTTTGCATTAAATATTTACATTTTGAAAATAGGAATTCGTAATAGAAAAATAGTTCTTTTGTGGCAATAGAGTTATAATCCAAGCAACAAATTTAATGTTTCCAAATGCCTTTATTGTTATATATACTGGTGCTAATGTTTAAATTGCTAGGCCTTATTATTCAGTAACTGCTTTTTTAATTTTGTTATTTCATTTATGGTTTTGTTAATTTTGAATTTCCTTCATTTAGGATCTTGTTTTAGAGTTCATTTTCTGCTCATGGGTCTTCATTTTTTGTTTTTATTTTTGATCTTTAGTGAAATAATTTCAAATTTATTCACAATTGTTACAGTGTCTTAACCCTGACAGCAGCCCCGATCTGCTAGCCTCTCGCTATGAGATGGAGCACTGGGCTTCCAGTATGTCTCTACAGGATGGCGGGTGTTTGATCACTAAGCCTAATTTTGCTAGAAAAATTGGCAAAAATACAATTTTATTCAAATTTACTCATTTTTTTTTTCAAATATTTCAGAAAATGTATTTATCTATATGCTTGGTGAATTACACAATTAAATACATATAAATTTTGCAGCTGTAATGATATATATAATCAAAGAGGACTTTTAAAATAAACGTTCAGCATTTGTTAAATTACAATTAAAATATTTAATGTAAAACAATAAATCTACACAGACACATCCACACATTCATATATGTATTTACAATGAAATTTAAAATTGGTTTTCTTTGTGATATATTCTGAAGCATTTGTCATTGCATACTCCTACATAACTATCTTTACACTCACAGTAAGTTGTTTTCCCCAAAGCTCTCGTTTTCCATTGGTTTTCATTAAGAACTAAAGATGGAAAATGCTTTTCTAAAAGGCGAAATGTCATGGGTATAGCTAATGCCCGAAGCACATCCTCTCCTTGACAGAACACTGTCTATAATTTGCTAAATTATTTTTAATCTAAACTGAAGTGATGGTGTTTTTATACCATTGTTACATCGTATAAAATATGAGTATTATAGATTGTAATGTCGAAGAGACCTAAAAATATTTTTTTATACCATTTGAAAGATTTTCTGTAGTATGGGTAATGAGTAGTGACTGCATCACTAAAATCAACACCTCTCATATTGTACTGCAATTATACAGCATGGTTTCTTAATACTTTATCCCGTTTTGTAATTTTTTTTACCAGAATCTTCTAGTTGGTGTCTATGCATTATAGTTAAAAGCAGCACTTCCATCTTTTTATCTTAAATGCAACCTGATGCATATTTTTACTATACATTGTCTCTACATCGTTTTGTATCATTGATTTTGATGGAAAATGTTTTAGCAAACCTTTCCTCATTTTCATGATTGTGCCACAAACATTCGTTTTTGTGTCGCATAAATCTAATGCAAGTGATGGTAAAGTAAAAAATCTATTCAGATATAAGTTGTATCCTTTTCCCAAAAGATCACTTCTGAGAGTTTTCACGCCGTTTTCGTCATATAGACCACCTCTCGCTGTAAGATTGGTATCTTTGCCTGTATATATTAAAAAGTTCCAAACCTAATCTGTATCGGATTCACTTAGTTTATAAATTTTGATTCCATATCGGGGTCATTTCAATGGAACATAATATCTAAAACTTAGCCTGCCTTTTCACATAAACAAAGATCCATCAATGGACACATTCTTTTTTGCTTTATACACATTTTATATTTTTTTTTTAAATTTTTATGCCAGTGGCTAAATAGCACTAGTAAAAATAAAGATATCGTAATATCTTCAAAAATCTCTTGACATCATTTTATTAAAAAATGGAGTAGCACTTATCTAATTTGTAGTAAAGTACATTTTCAGATCCAGTTTTTGTATTACACCTACTAGCATATTTAATGCTTAAAAAGGTTAATTTTTTCATGTGAAACGAAACTGAAATGTGAAGGACCAGGAGAATCTCGAGACATTCCACTGAGGTTTGGATCTCGTTGTAAGTCTGCAAAATTATCTGTTTGTTCCATAATTAAATTTATAAAGTCATCGACGAAAAATATATGAAAAAAAAAATCTTCTTTACCACAGTCACCATCTATTGTACTGTCATTTATACCAGGTGTACCAAAGTAAGCATGTGGCTGTAAATCTTTTAGTGTATGAGATCAGTTGTCATTTACAGAGGGAGCACATGTTGAGGCAAAAGAGCGCAATTCTGAATCTGATAAAATAACCGTATCATAATCGGATAATTCACTGCTTAAACTGCTGGCATCGCTGCTACTCAGATCTTGTAATAAAGTTGTATACTCGGATTCAGACAAATATTGCTTTCGTTTTGATATGTTAATGCAAAAAACTTAAATTCACACAAAAGAAAGAACACCCTACACTACTTATAAAAGTAAGAAACTAAATAAAAACGCACATGCGTTGATGCAGTACACTTGTTTATATTACTAAATCCTGCTATCTACCTTTCAGAATCAAATAAAACAGTCCAAGGTCAAAATTAAAACCCTTTTGCTGGCAGTGGCTGCAAAGTCAAGCCACCTAGAAATAATTTTTTCTCTAAGTGCGCAGTGGTTATCTTTGTTAGCCATTTGCATTTATTGAAGCTGAAATGCACAAAAATCATTACCGATGGCAGCACTATAGATTATTATCGAATTATGGTCTCTAATGGAGTGTTGAACTTGTATATTTGCTGCATAAGTACTGTAAATTGAAATTTTATTATTTTAAATAATATTTCTAATTTATGCAAAACATTTTGACAGTTTTAATGTATATTTTTCTATTATTTAAATCAATTAAACTAATTCACATGCAAAAACAATTAATTTTTACTAGGTTTTTGGACGTGGATACAGGATTTATCCACCGCTCTTTTAGGGGAGTTACACTGATCTTGAAAACGCTGCATTGCCTCTCTACCTGAGAGAAGAGTTTGACTACAGAAATATACACTGAATTGAGAAAATTCATGGGGATAGCAATATGCATATATACAGATGGCAGTAGTATCGCATAGAAAATGTATAAATGCGAAGTGCTTTGGCAGGGCTTTCATTTGTGTTCAAGTTATTCATGTGAACAGGCTTTGACGTGATTATGGCCGCACGACGAGAATTAACAGACTTCGAACGCGGAATGGTACTTGGAGCTAGACGCACGGGTCATTCCATTTCGGATATCGTTAGGGAATTCAACATTCCGAGATCCACAGTGTCAAGAGTGTGCCGAGAGTATTTAATTTCAGGCATAACATCTCACATGGCACCATGGCCGTGGCCGAGACAGTGGCCGACCGACCACTGCTTTACGAAGAGTTGCGTGTTAGAGTTTGCAATGCGTCACAGAGTAACAAAATAACCCCGAAATCAGTGTGGACGAGAACAGGACGTTGTCCGATAGACAGGCAGCGAAACTTGACTTTCTTGGGCTATGCCAGCAGACGACTCGAGGCAGCACACTCGTGGGCGCTGCAGCATACCTTGGCTCGTGGAGATATCGGTTGGCCCTAAAACGAATTGGTCAGATGAGTCACGATTTCAGTTGGTAAGAGCTGATGGTAGGGTTCGAGTGTGGTGCAGACCCCACGAAGCCATGGACCCAAGTTGTCAACAAGACACTGTTCAAGCTGGTGGTGGTTCCATAATGGCCTGGGCTGTTTTTATATGACATGGACTCGGTCCTCTGGTGCAACTGAACCGATCATTGACTGGAAATGGATACCTTCAGCTACTTGGAGATCACTTACAGCCATTCATGGACTTCACATACTCAAACAACGATGGGATTTTTATGGATGACAATGCACCATGTTACCGGGCCACAATTGTTCGCGATTAGTTAGAAGAACATTCTGGACAATTCCAGCGAATGCTCTGGCCACCTAGATCGCCCAACATGAATCCCATCAAACATTTATGGGACATCATCGAGAGGTCAGTTCGTGCCCAAAACCCTGCACCGTCAACACCTTTCACAATTATGGACGTCTATAGAGGCAGCATATCTCAATGTTCCTGCAGGGGACTTCCAACGACTTGTTGAGTCTGTGCCAGTTCGAGTTGCTGCACTTCACCGGGCAAAAGGAGGACCGACAAAATATCAGGAGGTATCCCATGACTTTTGCCACTTCAGTGTAAACTACAGAATACAGAACACCCCTACAGAAGTATAAACTGTCAAACAGTTTTATATTTCTGTAGGGGTGCAAGTAATGAGGTTTTGGGCTTGATTTGACTCTCAGTATAGCTTTTCTGTTTGGCCAGAATGTTCACGTTTTTTAGAGACACAATATTTAGAATACTTTCTCTATGTGGATAATTTTTTTATATTATTTTAAATTAGCATTCTACTTTTATAAGATTATAGTACATTTCTTTTATTATTTTAATTTCGACATAATTTTTTAAAGTTTTTTACAATGTCTAGAAAGAGCTTATCTGTACAAGAAACTCTATATGCTATTTTTGCTATTTTTGAATGTAAGTATTTTTGAATGCGAAGTACTCTATATGCTATTTTCTATACTGCTATTTTTGAAGATTTGCCATCAGAGGATGGCTCAGCAGTATCTAATGATAGTGATACTGATGAAGACTTTACTCAAGAGGAAACTATTATTTCTAGTTCTGATGATGAAGAAATTGAGAAGTTACAGATTCTCTCTACCTCTCAGCCGCAAGTGAAATGATAAGCATTTTACTGCCAGAATTTACAGAAGACAGTGGCCCATCTTCTGAAGTTTAAGAAATGCAAAATCCAACTCCTCTTGGAGTATTTTTGCTGTTTATTACAGTAAAATTGTATTATTACTTTATTATTGTTACTTTATTCCTCAAACATTTTGTATTTAATTATGATTAAAATTGTTATTTTCATAAATATTAATTTTTCATAAAAAGGTGTCATAATAAGTTGAATTAATTTTTGTCTAACAGGTAAGCTAAATGTCTTAAGTGCATAGTGGCTATAACCTCTCATTACGCCCTAGAAAAAAGACCCCTGATCCAAAAAATTTTTTACGGTCAAATAATGTTTAAGAGGGTTGAGAACATTATGTTTAAAATGTACTTTATCACAAAAAAGATTATTTTAACTTTGCGCCCGCAAAAGGGTTAATGCATCATAATTCCCATGTAACTTGGTACCATAGACATAGGGCGGCATCTGTTGAATTAAAAATATTTACATTTCATTCCATGTAATTGTCACATATACGTTACAGCAGTCTAGGCAGGGGCTAATCCTTAAGACGCAAACATCACACCCGTCATAGAAGAATCGAATGCTGCCATGGCATATATGACACACCCGTACGGAAAGGGTTAAAAATATGCATGCATTACTTTGCGGCCTTCTGTATACTTATAATTTTAAAAAGGGTAAATACATGCAGATGCAGTATATTTTTATTTCTTCATGCATTTTTATAAATTTGAATTATAGTGTATTTTTCTGAATTTCCTTTTTATTTATTTTTTTTTCCTCTCAACTTTATCAGGGTAGGAAGAATGACTGTTACTGTTGGGTGTGCCATAGAGAAAATATTGTTCTGTGTTGTATTGCATGTCCCAGAGCATACCACCATAAATGTGCTGGTGATGTCAATGAAGCATCATCAGAATGGTTTTGTCCAGAATGTCAGCGATCCCTCGTTGCTGATGAACTTGGATGCCGCTCTTCAACATTAAATGACATATCCCTTAAAGACTTGTGTGATCTTTTAAAGCTTAGTCTAAATAAAATGAGGCAGCGAGCAGTAAGTTTTTTAATGATATTGATAACTTTAAAATAATTATAAAAATTTTATGTGTAATGAATAATTTAAATAACACATATTTTTCAATATTCTATGTTTATAATTTTAATATTTAAAAAAATTAATTGCAGATTTAAGTTTTTTTTTTGGGGGGGGGCTAAGAATAAATTTTTTTTTCACAACATGTCTGAATTTTATATGGGGTAAAATATGTGTTTTATTGCAGATTACCCGAGTGAATTATTGTGAATAAAAATTCTTTTTTCATTTTCCAGCCTGTTGCATTTCATCAAGCAGTCTCATTAGAGCATTATCCTTTGTATCCACATTATATTATAAACCCTATGGATTTCAGCCTTCTTGAAAAGGTAATACACTTTTTAAGATATTAACTGAATTGTGGTTTTGGTTACTGGATAGCTGTTATCTTACAGCAGTATGTAAATGGCTGTATATTCGTTTACAGTACACAGTGTATTTACAAAATTTTAAGAGTGAGTTTTTTTAATGAATGTAAATGATAAACTAGTGGCAGTAATTACAGATACATATTTGCTTTCTTCCATGAAAATATCTGTTTGCAAAGAGAAGTTTGAGTGGAATTGTTTGTTTAGTTTGTACAACCATTAAAACTATTATGAAACCATTGACCGAAAAGTAACAGTTTTGTTTAATGCATTATCAAGCAACTTATTGAAACAAAAATGTAAGAGTATTAAAACAAAAATGTAACGCCTCTTGCTTGACGAAATTGTCTTATTTATGGGAGTTGTTTTGTGACTTATTTCCTGTTTCCTGAAGTGTAATCTCATATTAAATCATTTAGGAAGTTCAAAAGAGTCTAGATGTTGATGGAGGAGTATTTTAAGAATTACTTCTATGAGTAAGCCAAGTAGACTTGTACTGGGTTGCCATGCTACCTGGAAAACTGGAAAAAGTCAGGAAATTCAAAAATTGACCAAAAATTCAGGGAAAAGTTGGGGAATTTAAATAGTTTAGTCAAAAATCTGGAAAAGTCGGGGAATTTCACACAGTGATCCCCCCCCCCAAAGTAAGTTTTGCGCCAATGTTGAAAGTGATCACTTTCTTGGGGAATTGTGTATCGTGTGAGCGTCGTTCGGGCAGCTGACATAGAGCCAATTTTCGCAGCTCCAATTAGATTTGTCTTTTAGAAAGGGAAAGCAAGTTTCAGTTTCCAGTAACCTCGAGAATTGCATGTACAATGCATGTTGAACTAAACAAAATACTTATTCTCATATAAAACAAATTTGGTGTAATCTTAGTATACCATGGAGGTTAGAATCAAAGAATATGTATTTAAGAAGGAAAACTTCTCTGCAACAAGAGGGGCTCTGTTCCAACGTAGGGGGAAACAGCCTGAGTTTATAAAATGAATATCGTTTAAAATTTCTTTAAACTTTAAACGAACAATTTTTTTTTTTTTTTTTTTGTACAAGCAAATTAATCAATGGATTAGTTCTTTTGAGCATTAAAAAAAAAAAAAAAACTACGAAAATCTGTGTTTAAATTATTGCGAAAAATCAAAGAAGAAACGTTTTGTCAAAGAACATTTTTTGTTTGATTTTTCACAATAATTTAAACACGGATTTTTGTAGGTTTTTTGGGGGGGGGGTCTCTGAAGGACTATTGTTTTTGTTTTGCGATTTTGCATCGATTTTCTACAAACAGCAGATCACTTTTCAAACTGTTGCCATAAAGTATTATCGCTCTGTGTTATATTTAAAGAAATTAAATAATGAAAAATCTGCGTAAATGTATGTATATTTCTCGCACTGTGATCAAAACAATGGTACATAGAGCCATCGAATTTTGAATAACGTAATCCTCCAACGAATATGAGCATGTGGAAGACCAAATTTGAAATTTGAAATTTGTTTTATGATCGATTTCCTATTTTTTAAAACTTTGACGAATTTTTGATTAACAAACTCAAGGATTTCAAAGCGAGCATGGCAACGTTGTGCAGAAAAAACATTTTTATCTCCAGCATGTGATTCTCTGTATTGGAAATTCTAAAGATATGCTCATTTTAAAACTATTTTGCAATATTGCTGTTGATGGTTTAAGTGCGAAGAACATGTTATTTAATAAATAAACGTAACACACAAAATGTTTAAAAAGTGCCCCTTTGGACATAATTTAAAATCTGAAACATTTCAGATTTTCTTTCTTTTTTTCAAACACATGTTCCTCAATTTCCTATACACATCGCGGAGAAGGAAATTCTGGCCTCCAGGTTTCGCCGCCAAATCCCTTGGCAAATTTTCCCTCCGCATTCTAGCGGCGTAATGGCATTACATCTATGGAACCTTTCCTTCTTTACTTAGACATTCTTTGGTTAGAATAACCTCCATATATTCTATTCTAACCTCCAGGTACGGTACACACAAGATTTGGTGTCATTATAATGAGCGGTAAACGGGTCGTTTTGGTGTTGCCGACAATTTTCAAAATCGTGCATTTTGTCATTTTTGCAGTAAAATAGAAAAATAGTAATCAGTCATCTAGCCTAACCATTTAATATAACTATATTCGCTAAAATATTGTTGATTATTCTAATACAATTTTTAAGTAATTATCTTTATTTTATGTTATTCGTATCATTTAATGTTTCTTCTTCCCTCTAAATTTATTTATTATTTGTAAATAATACTTTCAAATTTCAGGAAATTTTCTCTGTCATAATCCTGAAATGAATTCTAGCAGTATGATGACATACCATCACGAAATTTAATGCACATATTTCTTTGCTTATGTATGCTGCTAAATAAATATAAAATACCTGAATTTATTTAAAAATACCATTAAATAGATTTCTTTCTTTCATTCAGCTGCAAAATGTTTGCAAAAAAAAAGACATTTTTTAATTGAGATTGGGCAGATTCTAATCTCAATCTTCAGTGGAGAAAACAACTCTTATTATAGTTATACTAGTAATATTTTTGGCATTATATATATATATAAAGTCGTATGTAATTGGCAAATTTTTGTGTTTTCAAGTAATACCATAATTAATTTACCTCTTAGCACAGCCAACGTGATTTACGCGGATAGACTGGGATCTTCTTAAAACCCACCTGGAAAAGTCTTGGAATTTCATTCTCCTGTTTGAGTGGCAACCCTGCTTGTAGCTTCAAGGGGAACAGATGTATAAATTTGAACAGTTGAAACAATTGAAACAACATTGTTTTAACAAAGTTGCTTTCTTGTGGTCTCAGTTTTTCATGAATTCAATCTTAAATCTTTTTAGAGACAGTTGGTATATATGTGGCTGGTAAAGAGTAATTAGAAACCAAAATGCTGCAGAAATTGCCAGTGCTCAAATTATTTTTTCTGGAAGTGAAAAAAAAAAAAAAAATGATGCAGCAGTTCTTAGTGTGTTATTGCCTGCAGTGCCCTGATATCTGCTTTCTTGACTGGGCCTCGGTGTGCATGAGCATATATCCTTGACAAGCTGTCAAGTTGTCACAGCCCGCCCCTTCCCTGGTCCAAGTTCCCAAGCGAACTGAAGGGATGAAAGGCTGAGTAAACCTTGTCCGGCCCAAGGATCGAACCAGGGGCCTGTGATGCTGCTATGCAACAAGCTAGCCACTGGGCCCTTTTTCTTTCCTGAAAGTAATCAGATTAAAATCTTGATTCTAAGGTATTATGCCTTCAGTGAATATTATAATTGAAATTTACTCAAATTGCCAGTAGTTTACAGGAAAAGGACATAGTAAAATAGATCACTGGGCATTGATGCAATATTTTTTTAGCATATAGCAGACAAAATAGTAATACTTCAAACAGTGTTTAAAAAAGGAAAAATAGGTATACACCACTATTAAAATATGCATATATTTCAAAGTGCTTAGAAACATATAAAAAATAACAATTTTTATAACAATAATAATAAAATACAATAATTAATGCAACATTTAAGGTATGACATTCACTTTTTTAACACTTATTCATTCATTCACAGTAACGGCATTTAAAAGAAGTAAAATGAGGGAGAACACAAAGCACCTAAACATATTGTTCTGTGTGTGTGTATGTGTTTGTAATAGATTGAATGCACAAAGCACCAGTGATAGCTTCTTAAAATTGGTTTAACCAAAAGAAACACATTACAATTCTGGAACTTTCCACAAAAATATTCATACAGCTCTTCTGAGTATCACAGAGCACGATCAGTAATTATACTTCAAACTATTAAGAAAGTTAAACGTAATGCAATGCAAAGTGCATCTAAATAGTGAAGCTGACCTGAAGATATTTCAATAGTCTGAAGTTGACTCTGAATGGAAAAATTGAGAGCTAATGCTGCCTTTGGTCTTATAAGTTTTCCCCCCGCCACTGAGAAATTTTTAATATCTTTCATTTCTTGAAATTGCTGGAAGACATATACAGTTAAAGTTACGTGTAAGGGCCAGATATGGGTTACATGGTTATGGATATGCAGTTACATACAGAGATCAATTATAGTTATTCTGGTACCATACCCAAATGTCGGCAAATGGTTTCCAAGTTTAGCCGCTTTTTGCAATTTCTCGCCAAAACCATTGCCAGCTTTACAATATCTTGCCAGTTTACAAAGATAACCATTTACGTCAATGTTAAATAGACTGGCCCCCTATAATCTTATTTTTCCAGCAGAGCTTTGTGTCTTTCGTGCATTCCATTACATGTTGCATTATACAAAATATACTACACTTTCACATATAATTTCGCTAAAATCGTAACAATATGTACATTACGAAAACTGAAAAAACCGTAATAAACTGATATAATACTAATAAAATGTAGTATTTACAATTTGCTTGAAATTTTAAATACAATTCTTAGATAATGCTGTTTTGCACTTTATACAAAATGCAAGAGGTTTTGATTGTCATGCTTATTTTCAAGAGGCTTTGGAATTGTCCTGGAAGTAAATATGTTATTTTAGTATTTTAAGAAAGCATTCCTAGTGGAAATATTCTGAGCCAACTCAATACCTAAGTCTTTTGCTTCACTCCAATAATCTCTTTTCACTTGGAAGATTATGGTAGCCAGAAAAAACTAAAAGCCCTATGAATATGTGTATATCTTCTGTGGTAATATTAAAATCATGATTGTTCTTTACATTTTTAGTATAGCTAATTGTCCCTTCTACTGTTAAATGCCACAACGCGCAATGAATTGGAAGTTGATCTGTCAGCACTATCCTTATCTTCAGGGCAGATGTTTTTATTTTATTTGGCTTATAATTCCTTACTAAATGTAGTATTTCATCTCAATGTACTCCGTCTTTGATATGATTTAAATCATATTCCTCATCATTATAATTCACTTCCGTGAAGTGAAGAAAGTGACAGAGAGGCTGGCACAAAGTGCAAGCTGGAACTTTAGTGAAGAAAGTGACACAGAGGTTATTGAAAACGAAAAAATTTCGATTGACAAATTAGTCAGTATTTTTGACACAGCAATTATAGGACTTGAACAGCAGAATTTTGTAACTGAAAAAGAAATTATGTCTGTTTATAGAATTAAAGAGAAAGTATTATCACATAGAACGAAGCAACTTAAACAACTTACATTGAAAGAAATGTTTAATAAAGTAAACAAATAAATATTAAGCTTTTTTTTGTAAATTTTGATACCCTTTAGATCATAATTGTTCTTTATTTCATAAATTACGGTTCATATTTTTAATTTTATAATTTCTGCATGCCATCTTACCAGATTTAAACTGATGATCTATAATCCGGAATCGCCGAAGTTCCGACGAGTCCGGATTAACGACTTTTGACTGTAGAATCATCTGAACTACCCAAGACTGCTGTCAGTTGAAAGACAGAGAAACTGCTAAGAATAAGCTTCTTCTTCTTTTCCCCGTGTGTGCGTGTTGTCATGCGAGTTCTACTTCCATATCATTTCAGACATATGATCCTATGGGCCCTTTTCTATATAAAATTTCTGTAGTATGCTTGACCAGTCTCTCTCAAAATTTTCTAAATTTTTTTCCATTATAGTCAAAACTCCTGGAATGTTGCTAAAAATTGATATTCTGGATCAAGTCATTTATTGTAGATACAGATATAGGTATTGCTGCTGGTGCGAGTTTAGCTTGAAGTGGAGTATCCGATCTAAAGAAAAGAGAATTCAGAACTCAACGCAGAACCTTATCTGTTAAGGTTGCATCAAAAATAGTGGAAAGAAACCCATTTAAATGTAGCTTGGCCAAATATATTTCTTTATTAGATCTACTAAGCTTATTGTGTCTAATGAATTTCTATGTGAGAAAAGGGATGCAATGTGACTTGATCTCTTTTATGAGAACTTGATTAATAATTCAGATTTTGAAGAACTTGAAGTGTTGTAAAATTAAATCCGATTTTATCACATGGCATGCCACAGTAGAAAGTGGTTTCTCAGTTAATAATCATATATTGGTCTTTTAATAATCATCGAGCAGATATGTTTCTTCAGTTGACTCTCAAATTGCAGAAATAAACAACAAATCTGGTTTTGTGCTGACTTTTAGTATTTTTTCTATTAAAATTTTATTTAAATATTCCAGATGTCCCCCCTTGCTTTTTTGTCTTCAATTCTAATAAAAATTCCATTCCAAAATTTTTATTTGATATTTTTCAAAACAATAAAGCTGTCATTCATGGCATAATTTTATCTTAATTAATGATAGAAAAAAACCACTGTTTAAAAGTTTACATATTGCATTGAAAAATCAATGAAATTTAATTTCTGATTTTGTTTATTACTTTGAATGTATGTTTTTTATGTATGTAAAATTATTTTAACTAATTATATTTTTGCTTTTTTTATTATGTATGTACTTCAGCGTCAGTGACTGCATATATTCCAGATGCACTAATAATCACTCCTGGTATATTATATATCATTTTCATGTAATTAGAAAGGGAATTTATTTGGGCTTAACTAATTTTATGACTGACTGAAGAAAATGATGGTTTAGTATGTAATTATCGTATAGCAAGTTTCTTTAGTTTGACAGAAACTTAGTTTGAAAGTTAATCAGGATAGCAACTCCTATTATAGTTATAATAGTAATGATTTCATTTTTTAAAAGTAATGATTTGTATGTATATGTATCAAAGTCATTTGTAATTGGCAAATTTTTTGTGTTCTCAAGTGGTAGCATAATTTATTTATTCGTAGTATAGCCAATGCACACTACCCAGCTAGACTGGGATTTTCTTAAAATACACCTGCAAAAGTCAGGCAATTTCATTCGCCTGTTTGAGTGGCAACCCTTCATATGCATAACATGCAGGGCAAACATTTTCTCTTAGAATGTAACATCGTTATAAATATTTCGTAACATTTAATGAAGTGGTATATATGCATGTATGTTTGTGTTTATGATCAGCAAGTCCATATTCATCTATTAATCTCTCTAATGGTTTGTGTACTACTAAGCAGTATATGTGAGAATTTTTTTTTTAATTCATTAGCTATCTATGTAAAAAAAAAAAAAAAATCATGAGCACATATTTTGCTGTTGGATTTAATATTCTCATCATTGCCATGAAAAATATTTTTGTAATATCAAGTATTCTACATAAATCTTAAGTGTTTTTATTTTGTAATAATTTTAATGTACATTTTGCACATAACTGTGTCTCATCAATATTTGTTTAGGAATTAAGAAAATTTTATGCTTATAATTAAGCTTTCAATTACAGAACATCAAACAGAAAAAGTATGGAAGTACTGAAGCATTTTTATCAGATGTCAAGTGGATATTGCACAATTCTTGTGTCTTTAATGGAAGTATGTAAATGAAAATCCTTTATAAAATCATTTAAATATTACTTTTTATTCCTTTAACATAATCGATTATTCAGAAACATTTTTTAAAAAAATTCATGTGATTTTCTTTTTAGCAAACTTGAATATAAATAATGTATTTTGATTAGTACTGTAAAGAATTCAATAAGATATTTAATTAAATATTGCTAAATATCCCTTTCAGTTAAGTTTGAATGCTCTTAAAACTGCTCAACTTAAAGATTGCGATTTTTGTTGATGTACTATTTTGTAGAGCTTGTAAATATTTTTCTTATATTGAGCAACTGTAATGAATAATTTTCCATATGTTGAACCAATATATTAAGTTTCTGTGTTTGTATTGCGGATGTGGATAGTTTACACTGCACATCTGTTGGTTTTTTTATGGTGACATCCAGTTTGACCATTCTTAAAATTTCTGGATGGATGGTGCTAGGGTTATAACAAGTATACAGAGAAGTAAATATAGTCTACCTGAAAAATGATTTTATTTCAGAGAAGTAAATATATTGTACATGAAACAGTGTTTTGTTGCTTAAAAATCAAAATTCACTTAAGCATTCATTTTGTTAATTACATATGTCACTTATTATTTTCTAGCAATTTAAAAGAAAATGGTTCATTTGTTGTGTTCATTAGTTATAAATGTTCTTTATAGCTCAGCACCCCTTAAGTACAAATGCAAAATCTATGGTGAAAACTTGTGAAAATGATATGCAAGAAATTGAAGTGTGCCCTGATTGCTTTATGCACAGTGTTGTTCGTCGTAAATACTGGTTCTCAGAAGTTTGTGTATGTATGAATTTTCTGAATGCAATCAAGTTTTTTAAATATAATATTAGTAAGAATAAATTGTTTGTTTTGATAATTATAATTGTTATAGTATATATTTAAAAAATATGTATGCTATGAATGTATAATTGAATTCTATTTTTATGTAATGCAGGTTATTAGTTTTAACAATCAATTCATTGCTCAGAGGGGGAAAGTAGTACTATCTCGGTCCAAACACAAAATGGCCATGCATATAAGATGACCTTAAGGTATTTCACAAGAATGAAAAATTAACCTATGTGTAAAACAACCTTGCGTTATGCAAGATTTATATGAGCAAGTTATTTCAAGAAAAGAATGATGAAATTATTTAAATACCATAACTTTAAGTAAAATGAAATAATATTAAGCATAAAATTAAAGGTTAATTAATAAATTATCTTGATACATTTTTTTAAAAGCTAGGTCATATACATAATTCTAATATTGTTTTTCAAAGTGTATACTTTTTTTTCCCCCTTGGTAAGCTTTTTCATATATTTAATTTTTAATTTGTTGATACAGTCAAAAGTCGTTAATTCGGACACCCATAATCCGGACCTCAAAGCTAAAAACTTTCTGCGCATGCGCCTAGTTGGCGCATGCACACAGGCGTTTTACACGTGCGCGTAGGACCTTGATTACTGTGCATATGCATGTGCGCAAGTGCAGAATACGTTTTTGCCTGCGCGTTTAATGTATAACGGACGGTGTAAGCTAAAATTATCTAATTATCTATTTCAGTTAATGTTAATGATTGCGTTGTTCCTTTTAATCTTCGAATTGGATTCCGCTTATTATTTTTTGCAGACTGTAAGAGCAATTTTATAAAAGTAAACTTGAACTTTCGATTATGTCAAATAGAATTTCCGATGCTGGAACTTCCAAAGGATCTACAAAAACGAAAGTATGTTTCGATGTCCAACAAACAAAAAGTGGAATTGTTGCAAAAAATGGATAAAGACATGAAGAATGTGACAGAGAGGTTAGTGAAAACGAAAAAATTTCGATTGACAAGTTAGTCGGTATTCTCGGCACCGCAATTAACGGGACTTGAACAGCGGAATTTTGTAACTGAACAAGAAATTATGTCTGTTTATAGAATTAAGGAGAAAGTATTATCACATAAAATGAAGCAATTTAAACAACTTACATTGAAAGAAATGTTTAATAAAGTAAACAAATAAATATTAAGCTTTTTTTTTTTTTTTTTTTTTTTTTTTGTAAATTTTGGTACCCCTTAGATCATAATTGTTCTTTATTTCATAAATTACGGTTTCATATTTTTAATTTTAGAATTTCTGCATGTCATCTTACAAGATTTAAACTGATGATCTATAATCCGGAAAAATCGATAATCCGGAATCGCCGAAGTCCCGACGAGTCCGGATTAACGACTTTTGACTGTGCACAGTATCTCCAGGCTGTTGTTTTTAAAATCTTTGGAATATCCTTCAACATAGATGAAATCTCTATTAGTCTTCCATAACCAAACTTGATATTTCTTGAATTCCTATCAACTCTGCATGATATCTTCATCATCTCAGTTACTGTGTGTTCATTCATCCTTTCGCTTGTGAACATCTTCTAAACGTGCTCATAGATCTTCAAGTACTGCCAAAACAAAGGTAATTGTCAGAGCAGGTTACATGTCATCTAAAGAGCAAGTTACAGATGAATCATGGCTTCTGCAATGGTTGAAATTTCTTGATCAGGAATGCTATAAACTTCTGGCCATTTACTTAAGTAAACCATGATAAATAAGGTGTACTTCTCTTGCTTCCTTTAATTGTAAAGTAAAGGACTGAGAATATTCCGGAGCCATCCTTTTGAATGGTATTCTTATATTGTAGTGTTGTAATCTTTCTTGTGTACATGTGTGCTGGCCTTTTTGAATTCCACATGCATTGCATGGTTTTCATCCTTTTTCTACATCTCCTTTGACCTTTTTTAAGAAGAAATGTTTCAGAACTTTATGGAGTGTCTTAAACAAAATGTCCTCCAGATTAGCTACTGTGAAGCTTTGTCAACTGTAAGAATGCCTGATCTCAGTAAGATGAATTGGCCATCTTTTTTCATTTTCTCTTTTGTGAAAGAGAACTCCATCTCATAAGTTAAATGAATCCTATAAAGTCCAATATCATTGTTTTCTTGTCAACTGAGTTTTCCACTTCCATTAATTTCATTAGTAGCCTCAATTTAGGATTGCCCTTTTGTGAGCCCTATAGTTCTTCATTGCTCCATGGATAAGTCTGTGGTGGAGAGTATGTAATGTCTGACCACTGGGATTTCAGAGCTGTATTTTTCCTATCACCACTGCATAGGTGCATCAGGTGAAGTTTCTTTTGCAATTATGGATTTCCTTTTCATATTCCTATGGCCATTGTGTCCATCTAGCTTCTCGACTCTTCAGATTTTTTAAAATAAGTATCCAGCTTAATGAAGCATGCTCAATGTGCAACAGGAATTTAAGGCCATCCACGTAATCATAGAAGTGTTCTACTGCTTCTACAATGGCTAACAATTTTTTTGCGGACACAATAATATCTGTCTGACATTGAGAGGCTTTTACTAAAACTGGCGGTGACATTCTCTTGACCATAAAAAAACAGCTCCAGTTCTTTTATCATTGCTATCTTTACTGACAGTGAAGTCACATTCAGGTTAGAGGTAAGTTAGCATAATCATGGAAGTCTAAACATCCTTCAGGGCTTTAAGTGCTTCTTCATACTTATCAGTCCACAAAAACTTTTGCTTAGCTTCTGTTATGTGATATAAATGCATTATAATTTTAAAGAAACCTTTAGCAAATCTTCGGCAGAGTGTGAGAAAGTAATGGGAGTGATACCATTCATGAAAAGACTTTATTTTGGCAGGATCCATGCATACGCCTTCAGCAAAGATAACTTTCTGGTGACATAATTTGCATGTTGGGGGGGGGGATTTATCAGCTTGAGTTTCTTTCTTTGGTGACTGGATCCCACTAGTCTGCCTGCAAAATCATTTCAAATTTTGTTTACTTCCCATGGTGACTTTCCATCACATGGTAAGAGCTTTATTACAGGAGAGATGATTAATTTAGGATGTTCATAGTAGGATGAGCCAGAGTGTAAATGATGATGGAAGTCCGAGCTGACATGTAGTATGCAAAGCATATCAACTCCAGAATTTTACTTTCTAAGCTTTCAATTTCTTTCTCGAATCTGTCATGAATAGCACTAATTTCTTGATTAACATTCTCTGTCTATAATTTTTCTTTTATAGCCTCTATTTTCTCATTTGCAGCATTAAAAATTTTCTATTCAAAGTTGACAATGTTCTGTTTTATTTTAGTAGCATTTGCTGATGTATCTATCGTTGAGGGCTGGTGAGCTGCTTTCCTTCATTTCTGTTGCTTTTTTCTTCATATGAATGGCATTTACTTCAATAGAGTTCATTTCAGCAGAATTCACTGTTGCTCCCTTGCATTTCTGCAGCATTTCTTCAATTATATTCTTTGTTTTGACAAAACTTCCAGCAGTTATCTCTGTAATAGCTTTCAGCTACTTTTCCATCTTCATCGTTATCAGCATTCAAAGAGATTCCTTTATTCGGATTCCATTTGTTGTGAACTATGAGTCTCTGTAAATAACCATTCCAGAAGTGTAGGAAGAAATTAATAATTTATTATAAATAATAACAAACAGAAAAATAAATAGTACTAAATAGCTCAAGGAGAGCATGGATGTAAAGCAAATCTCATTAATGAGAAATTTTGTAAATTTCTAATGTCACTCGCTCAGTAAACTCTTTCTCTTTGAACTGTGGTATCTCAAAGCTAATTAATAATTGAAAGTCCGTCCACACGTTTACACGCGACTATGTGTATCGAAGAATGAAACATGTCAGCAACAAAAATCTGTCCAAATGAAATCTGCATTCAGCCAACTGAATAGTTAAGCAGAAAAATCATGCTGACACTCACAGAAAGCTGTAAGCGCAAAACGTTTCATCTGTTGTTTCGTGGTTTGTTCAGCATAATGTCTCTTGGTTTGTTTTATTATAAAATTTTTCTTAGTAAGCAGTTTAACAAGAAAGCATCTCTTCTTAGTGTCAACAAAATTTTGCTCATAATGTTCCTTTTCAAATGTTTGAGAACTGTCATTTGTATCATCTTACGAAAAGATTTCAATCTCAAAGAATTTTTTGGCAGATTGTTTTAAAGAACTCCTATCTGAAATATCAGCAAGACCAGTAAACTTGTAAGAAACTATATTTTTTACAGTTCCTGTAACCAAATAGCCAAAAACGCTGTTCTGAAACATCAAATTATTATTATGATTTGTATATTTCTGCCTCAGGTAATTCAAAATATATCTCTTAGTTTTTAAGTAAATTTATTTTACTTAGAATGTAAAATGTACGGTCAGCTAGTTTTAATTTGCGAGATATGAATACGAGAAACGTTGATTTTCTTTAGAAGTGTTAATTCTGTTATTGTAAGTAATACAAGAAATGATAATGTTTTTCAAAAGTTATATTGAGATTCTCCAAGGAAAAATGACACTCCATCAACATAATCCAGATCATTGATCAATTTTCAGAATTGAACTGATAGCAGTCAATTTAGGACTCAAGACTATACTAACGTAGAATAATTTTGAAGGTCTATGGATCCTATCTGATAGCTGAAGCTCATTCCAACATCTTAGTAACTGGATTTACATGTGTGCTAAGATCTATCATACAAAAACTACACCTATTTTCTCAGCATCATGATATCTATTTTTAGTGGATCCTATCCCACATAGATCTTTATGGCAAGCAAACTAGCAAAGGAGGGCTGTGGCCTTTTAACTCATCCTCTTCCACCCTTACCTATCTGGAATTATTTTCACTGAAAATATCACAAATCATGGTGGAGTGGTTGATCCCCCCCACCCATCTATGGTACTTGGGCTGCAAACCTGGGTGGACTCTGTCCCTTGAGTGTGACAGGTGCTTCCAAACTGCACTCTCATGTATTGCTAGCGGTCATATTATGAGCCTCTCTTTCAAGGAGGGCATGAAAATCTTTGCCACATGTACTAAGTGCTGAGAACATCAGGCATCTGCTGAGCACATATTAAGCTGCTTCAGCCTCTTTAAAAAAAGGGAGGATATTTACTCCAATTCCCTTCTTTTGCTTGACTTTCTTAAAGTCAACGGTCTTTTGGATCTTGTCTGACTTCGTCAGAAACTGGAGGAAAAGCAACAACATACATTCAGCTATCCTTTCATTTATTCTGTGTTTGCCGAGCTTTTATTGTACAATTAAAAAAATACGGAATGATATTTCTTATGAGCTAAATTTGAGCTAGTACATTGTTTTTCATTAGCATAAACTATTTATGTATTTGAATCTAAAAAATATTTGATATAAGAGTGAGCTACAACTCTCCTAGCAGATATTAAATGACCTCATGGTTAAATCAGCATTTTAAAATATGAACAAGATGCTTAACTAATCCCGATTATTGGATTTCTAATGTCGTTTATATTTAACACTGCTATAGCTATTTTGGGGGTATTTTTCCTTCATTTTAGAAAAAAATTCCTCTTTTGTAATTTTATTGATGGGTTTTGTGTTACTGAACCAAGAATGTCTTTGTTCTATTATCCATCTTTGTGTTTTCTATATGTATAATTTCAAATCCTAGGAACATGAGGAATGATTTCAGCAAAGTCTAATTTTGCTATCAGCAAACTCTTTGTTTATCAAGAATATTTTCTTTTCTCACAGCTGTCAGTTAAGCTTATAACTTCATTTGAAACCTTAGCTATGAAATATTGTAAATTTTTTTCCAAATGCCACAAGTTTCTAATCTTGAAATACCTGTTTGAGAATACTTTTTAAAAAACCAATGCAGGATAATCATGAATTCAGTATATTCTCTCTTCTCTTAAAGGCAAATCTTTAGATACTTTGTTATTTAGATGTATGGCAATAGCAATTTATACTTTATTAATTTAAAAATTGATTCTGTTTGGAATATTTAAAAATGTTAGCAGAAAGAAATTTCAAATTCTAAAGAAAAATATTGAATTAGCAATTATCTTATAATGAATGAATCAATTATTATAGTTTAGTTTTATGTTTAAAATTGAGATTTTGATTTGATGCATGGGAATATCTTTTTATAATAACAGTTTGTTTGTAATATAGCATAAACCTCATCCTCTGGTGTGGGCTAAGTTGAAGGGTTTCCCTTATTGGCCAGCTAAGGTAATAATTCTAGCATATTATCTAATTATTCTTTGATTTTAAATTAATATATTAGAATATTATGTAGCTTTAAAATATAAATTTCATATTTATTAAATAAGTATCCTGCATGTTAACATATTTTTAACTAAATTCTCTTCTTTCAACATCTTTTACTGAGTAATAATTATTTTTAGAAATCTTTTAATGCATTTTAATGTTTTTCTTACTGAAGTTGATATATATATATATGTAAACTCGGTGTCTAGGGGATTTCTATGCTGACGACACACATTTAGGTGACTAAGTATTTATTTAATTATTGATTCAGATACAGTGATGAGTATTTACAAATGAAAAAAAAGTTATAATTCAGAAGTTAACCGCTTTGCCATCTATTAATACATCTTAGTCGAAAACATGACTGTTCTCTTTCGCTTCCATCGTCCATCTTTCGTCTCACCGCAATGCTGTTAGTTGAGTTGAGTTGTTGCACTCCTGTTACTCACACTCGGGTATCCTGACATGACAGGGCCTCCTGGCGATGATGAAGTTACAACAAAATCTGAAAAGAGTAATTAAAAAAAGAAAAAAGGAAAAAAAGGTCGTTTGGATGGGAACCATCTTGGAATGTCCTGAGGCAAAAAAAAAAAAAAAAAGGATACGTCATTTGCTTGGAGTGTCAACTGATTATCCTGGAACATCTTGAGGGAAAAAGAAATGTTATTTCTCCAGACCATCTTAAATGCTCAAGCGTCTTTAAAAGCATATCTGGGACTTCTTGGCGAGGCAAAAAAAAAAAAAAAAATGAACATCTTAATAAATCTTGTATATATAAAAATTTTTTGTAGAGAGGGAAAAGAAAAAAAAAACTTGTCAACTGATTAAAAAAATAATTAACATGTAAAAAAAAAAGAACTTTCCGCTTTACCAGCCTTTCTGGAAGAAAGAATGCAGGGTACGCAGTTCAAAATGATTTTTTTTAACAATCGCAGATAAATTAGGGATGTAATATTCACGTTTAATAATGGATTCCGTTTCGAGAGCAGAAAAATGACCTTTAGAGTGAACATTTTGCACTATTTCGGTTTGCATTGCCTGAGGTACAACTAATAGTTCTTGGTCTTCAACTATCTTATACAGAACACCGTTCTTTAAGGAGTAGTCATCAAAAGGGGTTTTTTCTAAAGTATGTTTGATCCCCGTTATGAAGTCATCACTTGATTGTGCGTCAATAATTTTTTGAGTTACACTGTCAATGGCAATTAACATGACAGGGAAACGACTTAGAGCATCTACATGTTTCATAAGCTGTCCAGAGCAGTGTTTTATTGTGTAATCAAAGTCTTCAAGGTAAAGAGCCCATCGAGCAATTCTGGGTGTTATGTCTTTTTTAGACGTAGTTTTTTCAAAAGTAGCGCAATCTGTAACAATATCAAATTTTGTTCCACCTAATAATGTCTAAATTTTTTAAGGGCTTCAATGATGGCTAGGATTTCTAGTTCATAACTGGAGTATTTCTCTTCTTGGGAGGTAGTTTTCTTGCTCATATAGTAAATTGGGTGGAAGGAACCATTAGTTCAACTCATTGCTTTTACATCAGTGATTTGTTGCAAGAGAACAGATCCGTAACCATATTTACTTGCGTCACAGTGAAGTTGAAGAGGTAAACCTTGTTGTTAAAGGTGCAGAACAGGATCACTGGAAAGTGCTTCTTTCAGTTTTAAGAAAGCGTGCTGTTGCGCAGGACCAAACTCAAAAGGAGTGGACTCACGTAGTAAGTCACTGAGGGGTTTTGCAATTTTGGCATAATGTTGAATGAATTTTCGAAAGTAACCAGTTAGGCCAAGAAAACTTGCACCTGTTTAGCTGTTTTGGGTTCAGGAAATGACTGTACAGTGCGTGTTTTGGCTGATGAAGGTCGAATTTTGCTATCTTGAATAACATAACCTATGAATTCAATTGTTTTCTTTAGAAAGTTGCATTTCTGAAAGTTTATTTCTAGGCCATAGTCTGAGGCAAGTTGAAGGACTCGTCGTAATTTTTTAATTCCGCCGTCTTCATCCTTAGATGGAATAATTATATCATGCATATAAATTATAACAGTTTGATCACTAATGAGAGGTCTGAATATGGTATTGATAAATCTTTGAAAAACGCTAGGAGAGTTGCACAGTCCAAAGGGAACTTTAAGGAATTCATACTGGCCTTCATGAGTAACAAATGCAGTGTATTTGCTGCTTTGGGGATTCATGGGAACATAAAAAAAGCCGTTTTTGAAGTCAAGAGATGTAAAGACCTTAGAATTCTGTAAATTATCAAGAATTTGCTCTATAAGGGGTAGAGGAAATTTGTCTTTCACTATTTTCTTGTTAAGACGTGTAATCTATACATAGCCGGTAAGATCCATTTCGCTTTTTGCAGAGAACAATAGGTGAGCAAAATCGGAGCAACTAGGTTTTATAATTCCTTCGTTAAGCCACTGCTAGATTTGAGCTTCTACAATATGTTGTTCGGCTATAGATAAGCGGCGAGGACGTTGACTAACAGGGATTTCATCCGTTAAAATTAAAGACATTTGCAAATCAGTTGTTTTGGTTTTATTAGGTTTGTAAGCCGAAACTAGGTGTTTGATTTCTGTGCGATGATCTGGATTGGTAAGATGCGTTAAATCAGGAGAATCAGGTTCATCGAAAATATTTACAATATTAATTAGAAAATTATGGTCAGGAGTTTCTGCTTCTATTAGTTTAATACCATGCTTTCCAATAGAAAATTCAGCTTGCTGGATACAATCACTTCCAATAATTGCGTCAACAGATGGGAGATTATCTTCAATATCATGAATGTCAGTTTTAAAATTTGTATTTTGAATTTTGAAACAACCTGTGAAATATCCTACTGGGTGTACAATGCGATCACCAGGTCCTGATAATGTTATAGAAGATTTGTGAAGCTCTGGAGAACCAATTTTTTGATATGTTGCTGTGTTAATTATAGTAGCTTGACTGCCAGTGTCAATCAATGCTGGAATGCTAACGTCAGAAATATTGATGTGAGTCATCATAGAATGTAGAGGGTGTGACAGTACGACAACTTGATTGAGAATTGTCTCTGATTTTTGTGACAATGGAGGTGATGCACGACTTGGTTTCTGAGTACAAGTAGACGATTTATGGCCAAATGAATTGCAGGAAAACATTTAGGTTGTTTATGAGAACAATTAGAACTTTTATGGCCTTTAGACCCACAATTGTAGCATTGTAGCAAACTATAGGTTGGGTAGGCTTCTGAGAGATTTTGCTCTCTAAGTGATGAGAATTATTCTGTTTAAATTTCAGATCACTAGAAAATTTAGCATGTTTGGAAGCAGACACAAGCTTCTCATAAATTTTTAACTTATCTTTGAATTCACTTAGTTTTACAACCATATAATAAAATTTTGTTAGTGTTTCCTGGAATACCATTTATTACATAATCAAAAATAGAAGACATATCAATTTGACCTCTAGAACCAATTTCTCTCATAGCAATAAAATAATCGAATAATGATTTGTTTGGCTTTAAACGTCTTTTAAACATCAGTTCATGCAAATCTGCACTGTTAAGTTTAGAGGAAAATTCTTCTAACAAATATTCTTTTAATGTAGTAAAAGTTTTGACACCATGTAAAGAATTTACAAAAGTTTTAGCAGAACCTGATAAGCATTTTTTGGTGAATATAATCTTGTGAACATCATTGATAATTCTATTCAGTTCAAATAATTCTTCTATGTCATTTAAAAAAGATTCAATTAAATTATCAGAAGAACCATCAAAAGGTTTAATACATTCGTATAAATCACGAAACGTTATGCTGAATTGTTGTTCATTTACCAGCGATGACATGACAGGCGTATGATGTTTCTCGATGTTTATGTAAACAAATACCGGAGCTGGAAGTCTGCGCGTTTTGGCTAGCTGCCAAGGTCGAACAAGTAATTGACTGCGTAGTGGTTTCAAAATCTGTTTGATTTTCGGCAATTAATTTTTGTTCTGTGTTTTCTAATTCGTTGTCAGAATCAGAATCGGAAATAGCAGTTTCCAATAGCAAATCAAAATTAGTTAAAGCATTCACAATCGTAGTATAACATTCATCAGCAGAAATGGCACAGTCTAAATTTAGAACATTAAGAATCGAAATTAGATCAGCCAGAGTGAAAATATTTAATAAACGTTCCTGAACTTCGGCAGTGTGAAAAGAGTTATCTAGTCTTGTGAATTCACGAAGTCTGCGATTTGCACAGTCGCCTTCTTGACCAAACACAAATTTATGTAGTAGCTTAATTGCTTTCGTGGAAGCTGATTTTAAGGATTTAGCGATATGTGGTATATCATTTAAAGTTGACATTGTCACAACTTAACTATTTCGGAGAACACAAGTGAGAAACAAGTTTATATAATAAAATGACATTGAGTTTCGATTTCGAAAGGAAAAGTTCTGGTTTTTCACACAATTCGTTCTAATGGTAAAAATATAGTTTTCAGTTCATCAAAATTGAATTCAAAGAGTCTTTAATTTCACTTCATCAAAATCGAATTCAAAATCTTTGTTATTTGATTCTTAAAGAACAGCTTACCTTGACTGAAGAAGAACCGGTCGAAGCTCCCATGTAAACTCGGCGTCTAGGGGATTTCTACGCTGACGACACACATTTAGGTGACTAAGTATTTATTTAGTTATTGATGGAGATACAGTGATGAGTATTTACAAATGAAAAAAAGTTATAATTCAGAAGTTAACCGCTTCGCCATCTATTAATACGTCTTAGTCGAAAACATGACTGTTCTCTTTCACTTCCATCGTCCATCTTTCGTCTCACCGCAATGCCGTTAGTTGTGTTGAGTTGTTGCTCTCCTGCTACTCACATGTAAGAAAAATAAAGAATATGTAAAAGATTAAATTATCAACATAAATTTCCCTTCTGTATTCTAAAAATGGTAACCTCTATTTGCACCGCATCATTTTGAGACTAATCCAG